TAAACCGACTTTACAGACGACCGTTTATTTATTGCATAGATGGTTGGACGAGCTCACAGCCCACCTGGTGTTGTGGTTATCGGAGCCCATAGACGTCTACCGCGTAACTTCCGCCACCCACCTTGAGATATGAGTTCTAAGGTCTGAGTATAGTGAAGCTAGCTTAAGAAATAAAACTAAGTGTTCCGCATTCAATCGCCGTCTTTCTTACTTCCTAACTCGACATCTCCTTTCTCTCTCACTCGGTCATGTTCCAGATCCGTCAGTCATCCATATCGCTCCATTCCGTTCCTACATAGCTACTTAGTACCAGGGCTATAAGTGTCTACACATCTAGTGTTATACATAAAACATATTAAGCACACATAAGATATTGTCCACAAAAACTATTGCGGCAGCCCTAGATACGTTATGTATTTTCTCAAACGTGTTTCGAGATATTAAAATAACTCCAACACAGCGAGCATTTTTCGTGAACGCACTGAGAACTGACTTAGTTTTATTATTCACCATTGATGTTTAACATCACGCATTCAGCTTACAATGTGTGTTATTTCACATTTGAGCTCCTCTGATTACGTTCGCTACGAGTAAATACTATATTTTGACTGTGAATGTTTCTAATGGTGTTTTTAAGCTATTGCATAGCTTCTATCGCGGGCCTTGAGCGCGGCGACTGAATCAATAAATTCCGTAACGAAAATAACCTGACACCCCCACTACGCCTACTATGTAGCTCGCGTTCAACACATTCACACGTTGCGCTTGTATAGTGTTTGTGAATAAGCGCGCGGCGTGACGTCGCACTGCCGCATGCACATCATGAAAAGTCTGTCCATCTCTCCATCGCGTGGTCTAGCTTATGAATGTGAAGGGGACAGAGTCTTTTAGACGAGCTCACAGCCCACCTGGTGTTAAATGGTTACTGGAGCCCATAGACATCTATAACGTAAATGCGCTACCCACCTTGAGATATAAGTTCTAAGGTCTCAATATAGTTACAACGGCTGCTTCACTCTCAAACCGAAACGCATTACTGCTTCACGGCTGAAATAGACGGGGTGGTGGTACCTACCCGTGCGGACTCACAAGAGGTCCTACCACCAGTAATCAAAGACTTGTGGCTTATTATGTGGATATGAGGGTTTCTTAATAATCGGGCAGCCGCGGGAATTTCTCCGAGCGTTTTTATTATTATTACAGCAAGATGCATTACAAACTAAAAACAAAATTGCGAAATAATTACAGCAGGTTTCAAAAGTAACAATGGACGTGTGATTATTACAAGGTTACCGGAGAACGTTCGCTACTGAGATAAGGTTTTTCTATGAAATTATTAGATTATCTTGCTAAAATCGAAAATCGTTCCCTGAGGACACGAAGGGAGCAAGGTAAAGGGCGTGTCCTCAAACCGTTACTTCCACTAATATCCTTAACTGGCACGTTTATTTGAGACCATTTGAACTAGGGGAGAGCTTTTGTTATGTTATGACTTTGGTCGTATTTTATTTAGACCGTTGCAAGGATATATATTGATGATGATGGAATAGCGGTAGGCAGCGGCTTGGCTCTGCCTCTGGCATTGCTGAAGTCCATGGGCGACGGTAACCACTCACCATCAGGTGGGCCATATGCTCGTCTGCCTGCAAGGCCAATAAAAAAAATTTGCGTTTTTTATTGCCTTTGTAGGTGTCTGAGCGCACAGCCCCCCTGATTAGAGTGGTCACCGTCGCCCATGGACATCAGCAACTCCAGGGGCACGGCGGAGTCGCTGCAACCGTCTAATAATACGATTCAATGTCTGTTGAAATCATTGATTTTAATACTTTNCTGCAACCGTCTAATAATACGATTCAATGTCTGTTGAAATCATTGATTTTAATACTTTTTGAATTTTTTTTATTGCTTAGTTGGGTGGATGAACTCACAGCCCACCTGGTGTTAAGTGGTTACTGGAGCCCATAGATATCTATAACGTAAATGCGCCACCCACCTTAAGATATAAGTTCTAAGGTCTCAGTATAGTTACAACGGCTGCCTCATCCTTCAGACCGAAACGCACTACTGCTTCACGGCAGAAAAAGGCGGGGTGGTGGTACCTACCCGTACAAACTCACCCGAGGTCCTACCACCAGTAAAAAAATATTCAGAATACATTAAAGTCTTGAAAGTTCGGCTTTTGAGATCGAAAAACAGTCTCTACGTATTTCGAGGAGCTTTCGGAAGTCTCCATAAAAATTTTTGGAAGTCCTCTCTTCCAACTTGTTCCTAAAGTTCCTTCGAATAGACAAATTAATATAAGGTCTATTCAAATAGCTGAAGTAGATTGTCAATATTTTTTTTCAAATTTTCATATTTAAATGGGCCATCTGTAAAGTTGTAAAAATGTCGTTTAAGCCAACTACCCTTAATTTATGATAATACCCAAATATATTTGATAATAATAATAATAATTAATATGATAATAATATTAATTGAGCGTCATGCGGCGTCGAAGAGAGAAAATTCGACGAAAAAGACCCGATTTGTGGAAAGGAAATTCTTGGATTTTGCACCACGATAATGCACGTTCGTAAGACCATCATGAGTAAAATCATTTCGTCCAAAGACTCAAAAATCATCGAGCAACCAACCACCTTATCCATCAAATATAGGTGTTCGCCAACCTCTTTATTTTCGAAAACTCAATTTACCATTTCGTTTTCATTCGTCAGAAGACATAAAGGTGAATTCGCGGTGGCAACTGAACTGAATTTCGGGAAAAGCGTTTAAAAATGTTTTTATGATTAAATTATTGGTTGGCGTAAGTGTATGGTTTCTGAAGGAGCTTACTTTGAAGTTGATAAATTAAATTTGGATCAATAACTAAAATTTTGTGTATCATTTGATATTTTCCCGGAACTTTCTTGACAGAGTACGAGTAGTACATTAGCTTGAAAGATTAGATTTGATTGAAAGACGAGTATGAAGAAATCTATATATATATATAAATGAATTGCTGTTCGTTAGTCTCGCTAAAACTCGAGAACGGCTGGACCGATTTGGCTAATTTTGGTCTTGAATTATTCGTGGAAGTCCAGAGAAGGTTTAAAACGTAGATAAATATGAAAATGCTCGGAATTAAATAAAAATAATAATTTAGTTTTCCCTTTGATGTGTCCCCCGTCGGACGGATTCCTTTTGTTTATTTTAAGTTTATTTTATACAAAAGTCTAGGTATTATTTTTTATCGATTGAGGAGTCGGATGGATTCCTTTCGGTTTTTTTAAAGTATATTTTATATAAAAGTTTATGTCTTTTATTTATCGATTTAGGCACTACGAAGTCTGCCGGGTCAGCTAGTACATAACTAATAAAAATAGTTTTTAAAAAAAATCGCAGTCATAGGGACTGCTGATAGAAATGAAAAATTATAACTTAGTATTCTGGTAAAAATATGAAATTTCATAATGCTTAATTTAAAATTATCAACATCAATCTGGTTTTCACGTCTATTGACATTCAAAGCAACAATGATATACATGTTCATAAGGTTTATTTATTATTCAGATAATATATTATGACCTGTACAAGATCATGACAAAACATAGATACAATTGAATTGAAATAAAAAATAATGTACAATCACTTTTTTAATAAATCTATCAATTTTAATTGCAAATATATACACACAGGAATATTATTGCACAATCCATCACCTGTGTAGCTACAGATATCGTCCTATTACGCATGTCGGTGACGCGAACTCACAAGGTTTCATCCGTTCAAAAAGCGTCTAACGCGAACTTTTTTTATTCCTACCTATGCTGATAGTCTTGAGAGGATATTTCAGCTTCACCCTAATATGTAGGTGAGCTCACGGGGCTCAAATTGGAAGTGTTGCTAGCACTGGCCCTAGCAAGAACAGTGCTTCGCAGAATTTACCACCGGATCGGAAACGCGACCCACTAAGAAGATCCGGCGAGAAACTCAGTGGGCTGTGTCTATGGGGAACGCGCACAGCAGACGACCAGGTATATGCCAAGCGCGTAACATTAGTGTCGGTGACGCGAACTTATAAAAAATTCCCTACGAAAAAGTGTTCAACTCGGCTAAAGAAGTTTCACATCAAAACAATTATTATTATAGTATGCAACAGTCGTCGGTGACTACGAAAATCGTACGACACGTCGGAAATAATATATGTAATGAAATTTGAAAAAAAAGGGACATTAAACTGTAAATTTTTTTGATTAGTATTTTTTTCCTAACCTATTCTCTGGTATTATAAGAGGCTATCTCAGCCACGCCCGGACGGGTGGGTGGGCTCACGGACTCAATTTGAGAGAATTTGCTGACACTAGTCCCAGCAAGAGCAGTATTTCGCAGAATCTTTTACTGATGGTAGGAATTCTTGAGAGTTCGCGCGGGTAGGTACCACCACCCTGCCTATTTCTGCCGTGAAGCAGTAATTCGCTTCGGTTTGAAGGGTGGGGCAGCCGTTATAACTATATTTGAGACCTTAGAACTTATATCTATAACGGCCGTCTGGTGTAGTGGTAAGTGACATGGTCACTACATAAGGGGGTCGCGGGTTCGAATCCCGCCAAGGGAAGATATTTGTATGATAAATATAAATGCCTTTTCCAGGGTTATGGATGTATATTAAATATAATATGTATGTGTATAATAAAAATCTTACATTTATTTCCGTTATCTGGTACCTGTAACACAAGTTCTTTACGAATTTATCACGGGACCAGTAACGTGGCGTGATTGTTAGTAAATATTTATTTATTATTATTATTATTATTATATCTCAAGGTGGGTGGCGCATTTATGTTGTAGATGTCTGTGGGATCCAGTAACCACGTAACACCAGGTGGGCTGTGAGCTCGTCCACCCATCTAAACAATTAAAAAAAATCTACCACCGGATTGCGACCCACTGAGAAGATCCAGCGAGAAAATCTGTGAGCGTATCTACCACTTAAGTTACAAGGTACGTTACGCTGTACTCACCCAGTGCCAAGAAGAGCACGAAGATTACCGGCGTTATCATTGACCTGTTGGCCGTCCTGGCCTCTCCTCCACATCCGTGGCAGCGCTGAAATCACCATCAATGACACCAAACCCGACCGCGGTACCACCACGCTGAGGCCCGCACCGAACTGTCACATTCAAACTGTTCGAAAGTTCAAAGTGTTCACTCACTTCCGTAACTGTCACATTCGACACTTTTACTTCGAACTCCGTAAGTGCTTCACTCACTTCACTTTATCCTCTTTTATTTCACTTATTAAACATCAAGAACAATGTTTTTGCGATAAACACTTATTCTGTTATTCTTTTAAATTTTAAATTACCACTGTATTTCAAGTAAATCTGAAACAAGAGAGGAGATAATTAGAAAATTTTTGGGGGTGCAGAGAATATGAAGAGAGTTATAAATATGTCGGAGACTGTCATTAGTTTGGTAGCTAAACGAAACGCAGCACGATTCCCGAGAGATGGCAGCACAATTGCGGTATCGTCGGAACTCGGCTAACTTCGTGCTACGACAGAGCCTAGCCGATGGAGGCGCATAGACGTCATCACACTTACCAACCAGCTTTCTTGAAGAGCGGTGCCTCCGTCCTAAGAACTGTCATTCGTTTTCGTTTGCTAACGTCAAGAGAAGATTTCTAAATTGTTCTAAGACAGCAAACGTGATTGGTGTACTCAATATTTCTCTTAGATCGATCACCCTATTCGTCCCTACGATGTCTGACGATGGTGTTAAAATGTGGTCTCTCCTACAAATAATTTTAAACCTTAAAAAAACCATCATAATAATATATATCCGCCGTTTTGTCTTAACTCTTCAGAGTGACTCGGTGGTGAAGTAGTTAACTAGTAGTTAACAGAACTAAGGTTGGGTTCACACGGCATTGTCCAGCACGTTTATTTGCAGTATACGTCTTAACACACACTCACAATGACATGTTGTTTGTACTTAAAAAAATCGTACATCGCTTATGCGTATAAACCACGGGTTCCCAAAACGTATTTTGTCTACTGCCCACTTTGGGAATAAATTATGTTTTAGCGCCCCCGTTTTTTCACATACTTAATAAAAACTATAGCGAGAGCTTATTCAGTGTCTAAGAGTCATCCTAGATGAAATTACAAATCGCCTCCCAAGCCTCTACAAAATTCCCCCATTTTTTTCTCGGTCTCTTACTGCCCCCCCTTAGGCCTACAGCGCCCACAAGGGCCACTTTGGGAAAGGCTGGTTTAAACGAATACTCAACGGAATTGTCAAGCAAATCGAATGAACCATAACGTTGCAGTGTCGCATAATATAGCTCTGTCTCTTTCACACGTTCGTTTTTACGCGAATGGAAATCTAACGTATGAACACCCGGGTGATTGTACGTTAAAATAACGGATACAAAGAAAACGTGCAGGACAAAGCCGTGTGAACCCAACCTAAAAACAATAAAAGACCACCAATACGACCTCTTAAAAAATCTGTCCACATAAATGCCCCCACAAAAGCACTAAGTCGCAAATGAATCAAACGTTCTCTGGATGTAGGCAAAGCACAAAAATGGCATAACTCACGCCCAGCGCTGCTAATGGCCACTTCACACTTGAAGAGCCACCACAGTTCATTGCGATTCAGTAAATCAAATGTGAGAGTCCTCGTTTGTTATTTCGAACGAATTCAGATGAAAAGCCTAGTCTACTGGCTTCTATTGTAGAGTTAACTAAAAAACAGTACACTTGTTTACCGTGTGCTAAACTATGATTTTTATGATGTATTACATAAGGTCTAACTTAAATCTCTTAACAAAATTATTCCATCGTAAAGATTAAAATAAAATAAAAACTTTGTTTCTACAGAGCAACTTTGAATTTTTATTTAAAATTATTTCAATAAATAAAATTAGAAGTTTTTAATATATGTCGGCGCAGCTGCTTCTCAATACGTCAGCTGTCACTTTATACAAATGTCAATGCCAAAACGAACTTCGAGTGATGGTTAGGTGGCCATCTTGTCAAACTGACAGTTGAATTTCGAACTGTCATAAAAAGAAAAGATGGACACGCTCTAGGTACATGCTCAGTGGAAGTTACTTTTTAATTAAATTTGTTGTGTAATTCGTTTCCAAATGATTCTTACGGTTGTCTGGAAGAGATCGCTCTTAGCGATAAGACCACTGATTGTACTTTTTTTGTATTTAAATGTTTCGCATTTTTTTTGGTGTACAATAAAGAATGCTCTTTCTCTCTCCCTTTAATCTATAATTATTTGGTGAAATTAACCATTGTACAATCGAGAATTATAAGTGGCGTTATTATTGCCATAGTTACTTTATCTGAATACAAATATATCAATACACTAGCGACCCGCCCTCGCTTCGCTTCGGAAACATTAAAACACACATGAAACCAAAAAAATAAAATATTTTTTTTTTAAAAAAAGTAGCCTATGTTCTTCAGGGACAATGTCGGCTTCTAATGGAAAAAGAATTTTTCAAATCGGTCTAGTAGTTTCGGAGCCTATTCGAAACAAACAAACAAACAAATCTTTCCTCTTTATAATATTAGTATAGAAAATCAAGGGCTTAATTCAAAGGAAAAGAAATATATATTATATGCGTTTTGATTAATTTTGTCTACAATACGTTTTGATTTAATATAATTGGAGTCGTTTTCGCGGAAGACGCTCCGAAAACGAATTTTATTTTGGGTGATATGTGTTTTAATAACAGCAACAATACATTTTGGATGTTACCTCCGTTAATTGGTGCCGAGTTGGGTTTTGTGAACACTTTTGATCATAATAATATGACTTTTATGTTTTTTCGTATTTTTCATAATTGGAGTATATGTGCGTATTCCGTATTGAAATAAACGTGCCAGTGATTTCCATTTTGCATATTAGTTAACTATACATACATGCCCAGCGACTTGACTCGCATTGAATTTATTGTTGATTTAGGGTCCCTTCACACAGACCGGCTCGGAGAGGAGAGCAGATTTTTTTTCTTTTGTTGTTATGTTAGTTATGAAAGTAATCGTGGCCTAAAGGATAAGACGTCCGGTGCATTCGTGTTGAGCGATGCACCGGGTATGAATTTTTCTAATGAAATACGTACTCATCAAACTAAAAAAATGTTTTTTTTTATCGCTTAGATGGGTAGACGAGCTTAGAGCCCACCTGGTGTTAAGTGATTGCTGGAACCCATAGACATCTACAACGTAAATGCGCCACCCACCTTGAGATATAAGTTCTAAGGCCTCAGTACAGTTACAACGGCTACCCCGTCCTTCAAACCGAAACGCATTACTGCTTCACGGCAGAAATAGGCAGGGCGGTGGTTAACAACGCGGTACGGTTAAAACAATAAAACCGGTTATTATTGAATTTCGTCTAGACTTAGGAATGTGTGATTGGCGTTTCGCCAGCATCACGTTACACGCAAGCCGGCTTCTGTCTGGAGTTATATTTAATTTAATTTTTATTATTTACAGACTTTTCGTTGTCATCGAAGGCTGACTTATTTACGCACTGGGACTCTACATAAAACTTGTCCAAGAAGAGCTCTTAGGAAAGGCCCGGGATATGAGTTCATTCTAGAGACGAATGAAATAAAATAAAGAATATTTCTTGAAACGCGCTGTGACCATTATCAAAAAATCAGAGACAATGCCACATGTAACATGAAACACAGAGATGTCAAATTTGTCCGAATGATTCCCAAACGTTTTGCGATAATCACTATATAGTATAAAACAAAGTCGCTTTCTCTGTCCCTATATCCCTATGTATGCTTAAATCTTTAAAACTACGCAACGGATTTTGATGCGGTTTTTTATTAGATAGAGTGATTGATGAAGAAAGTTTATATGTATAATAACATCCATTAAATAGTGGAGAAATCATTAATAAATTACAGTTTCCGAAGCGAAGCGAGGGCGGGTTGCTAGTTAACGATAATTCGAACAGATGCCAGAGCCAGAGCCATAGACACAACCGACTGATTTTCTCGCCGGATCGTCTTAGTGGGTCGCGTTTCCGATCCGGTGGTAGATTCTGCGAAGCACTGCTCTTGCTAGGGCCAGTGTTAGCAACACTTCCGGTTTGAGCCCTGTGAGCTCACCTACATGTTAGGGCGAAGCTGAAATAGCCTCTCAAAGCTATCAGCATAGGTAGGAAAAAAGGGCCAGTGTCAGCCCATTCTCTCAGGTTGAGCCTCGTGAGCACAACTACCAGACAGCGTGGCTAGAATAGCCTCTTCGGTTACCAGTAAACAGGTATGGAAAAAAAAGAACAGTTGAGCTCTCTTTTATAAAGAGACAAATGGGAATGGCTTGTTCGAGGGATTCCAGCAGTGGTGGGTAAAGAAATCTGAGCTCAGATGGCGATAACTTCAGCGTCGAGCATTGGCAGAAAGTTTCGAACCGAAAGATCGAGAAATCTAAAATAAAATCCCCAAATACGTCTTTAATAAGTATTTATAGAGGCGCGTAACATTTTTGTATAATTAAAATCAGTTGGATTTGGGATTTATTATTTTTATAATCCTTGATTAATTGTTCTGTTGTTTTGCTAAAGATTAATCGTTTTTTATTCGACTAAATGGTAATTTTGAGAGCGGGTAACACCGAACTGAGTTGTGTATGTCATGGCGGACGAGCGTCATGTCACTCTATTCCCTTATCGAAGGCGGTCTCATGTGGTGGTCACACACATACCCATTGGCTGTAAATCACTAATTATTATTCTAATCCTTAAATGTTTATGTAATTTAACTGTTTGTATAATTAAACTAGTGAACAATCAACATCGCAGTCCACATATTTTCACGTTTCCCGAGGTTCAAAGCTCACTATGGATCCCTGTGTGCCAGTGGCGGATTAAAAGTCCAGAGCGCCCTAGGCAATAACTTTATCGGCGCCCCTGTACCGGCCATAAATGTCCATCATAATACTATAAATTTTAACTAGTTGTTTTTGCAATTACGATGACGTTGTATCATCAAACCCTAGACTTTAGCAGACCAGGACATTTAGTTCAGGCATTTGGTTCTTAATCATCAATATGTTATTTTCTTTATTTATTTAAAAGTTCTGATCTCGCGCGCCCCTTTTAACTACACGCCCCTAGGCACGTGCCTAGTTTGCCTTATGGATAATCCGCCTCTGCTGTGTGCTTAGTGCGAGTTCTTTGACGTTCTCGATAGCGTAAAAGTTAACTTAAGTTTGCAGTTGGAACAGCGCCCCTATTTTTTTTTTTTATTGCCCTTGGAGGCATACGAGCATACGGCCCACCTGATAGTGAGTGGTTACCGTTGCCCATGGACTTCAGCAATGCCAGGGGCAGAGCCAAGCCG